CTTTCGAAGTAAACTTTCAGAAGAAAAACCTGCTGAGAAAAAGAAATTTATTTTTCTTAAACCTTTTTTCAGGACATAGTCAAGATCAGTATGGTCCCACCTCTGTATTCTGAAAAGCTGCAAATGAGCTTCATAAATTCCAAAAATGATTGCATTTTTAAATCATTTTAACTACTTTGAAAAAGTAATAACAGCTTTATGGATATTACCAACATGAAAATATTACTGCCAGATTAATTCACTCTCCTGCAAACCTCAAAATGAAGGTTCTCTTGTTATCTCTGTTTAATGGTAGGATAGCCTAACATTTAAGACTATATCTTTCTTTTTATTATACCTTTTACAAACTTCTCTGTGTATATAAAGCATCTTGATAGAGTACAACCAAAATCAAATATACAAATAAACTAAAAGTTAGAATTGTACAACGTCCAGAAGAAAACACAAGAGAAAATCCTAGCAACCTTAGTGTAGGAAAAGATTCTTAAACATGAAATAAAAGGAAATATCGATAAACCGGACTACTTCAAAATAGTAAATGTTTGCTCTTTGAAAGATGTCATAAAGAAACTAAAAACACCAGCCACAGAAAATATCCACAATACATGTACCTGACGAAGGACTTGTATCCAGAATATATAAAGAACTCTTACAACTCAATAAGACAAACAACCCAATTTTTAAAAAACTATTCAAAAGATTTGAACAGACTCATTACAAAAGAATGTATGCAGATGGTTACGAAGTACATGAAAAGATGATCAACATCGTTAATTAACCGAAAAATGCAAATTAAAACCACAATGACATTCTACTACACAATAATTAGAACTAAAATCAATAAGACTGACCATCTCAAACGTGAGTGAGGATGTAAAAGAACTGGAAATCTCATACACTGCTGGTAGAAATGTAAATGGCACAATCACTTTGGAAAAGTTGGTCAGCTTCTTAAATAGTTAAAGCTATAACAAATTACCAAATGATCCAGACATTCTAATCCTAGTTATTTACCCAAGAAAAATAAAAACATGTGCTTCGAAGACTCACATATAACAATGAATGTCCACTGCAACTTTATTCGTAATGGCCAAGCCTCCCAAATGTCAATCATCAGTGAAAGGATAAACATGTTGTATATCCATGCAATGAATATTACTCAGCCATAAAAGAAAAAGGAACGTTTGTACACTGTTGGTGCAAATGTAAACTGGTTCAACCACTATGAAAAACATGAATTTTCCTCAAAAAATTAAAATAGATCTACCATATAATCAAGCTATTCCACTTCTAGGTATACATCCAAAGCAAATAAAAACAGGACATCAAAGAGTTATATAAACTCCCATGTTTATTGCAGCATTATTCACAACAGCCAAGATATAGAAAACCTAAGTGCCCACCAATGGATGGATAAAGAAGATGTGGACGTCCTGCCACCTATGACAACACAGATAGATCTTGACCACATTATGCTAAGTGAGATAAATCAAACAGCAAAAGTTTTGTATATCATTTATATGTGGAATCTAAAAAAGCCAAACTTGTAAAATGGCTTTAATAACACATTTCAAATGTTAATGTTCATCAATACAGCCTTGTTTTCAGCAACTGATTTTGCTAAAAATATCATAAGTGGGATACATTTTTTAAAGTATACCAATAAAATATCATGTTCATCTCATTTATGTAATAGGGTAAGATTTCTTTCAAAAGAAAGTTTTTGCTCCTCAAAAAAAAAAAGTACCTTAGAGTTACTATTAACTGAACTAAATCACCTATTTTTACACTCATTATAAATAAAATGATCATTAATATTTAGAAAAAAAAAACATAGTCAATGAACAACACTCAATAAACAAGGATAGACTAGCATGATAAGAAAGTAATGCCAAATGCAGCTGGAGACAATGAGAGGGTCAAAATCCTAAAGAAACTTGTGCATCGTACTAAAGAGATTATAAAAGCATAGAGGATATTAAAGAATTTTAAGCATGGCATAAAATTATCAGGTTCCAGAAAATCCACTCCAATGGCAGCTAAACAGAAGATATAAAGGACACAACAATGAAAGCAAGAAAACTAGTGAGGAAGTCATCCCAGTAACTTATGTGAAAGATAAGAGTCTGGGTGACAAGGGTCATAGTGATGGTAATAATGAGGAGAGGCAAACTGAAGAGACATTCAAGGAAGAATCTGTAATATGAGGGGCAAGTGACTGACAACAATGAGAGAAAAGATTTAAAAGGAGTCTAGTTTCTGACTTCGGCAGTGGTACCACTAACTGAGCAGTGGTACCACTTACAAGGACAGGAAGTACAGTTTACATCAGTCTTATGGGCAAGGCAATGAGTTGGACATGCTCAGTTTAAGGTTCTTATGGGACTTATGAGTATTTGGAAATAATGGTAAAGTGTTTCACAGAGCCATCTGGCTGGAGTTGCAGATTCAAAAATAATCAGTTACACAGTCAATTATGGAAGGGGTCTGTGACGGATAAGATTTCCAGTAATGGGTATATAAAATAAAAAAAATTAAGGATGAAAACTGAGGAAAACCAACCTTTCAAGAATAAGTGGTAGAGGTAGGGGACCATAAACAAAGATTGAACTGTCATGGGGTCCAGAAAACAAAGAGAACATGGGGTCATGTACACTAAGAAAAGTGGAAATTTCAAGACATGAGTGTACAATTGTTTAAATGTCACATAATGATTAGAATTGAAAGTCATTATGTGATTAAGAGTTCAGAGAAAGAACTCCAGATTGCAATGAAGTAAATGGGAATAAAATGGATTCAAGTATTGATCTTTCGAAAAGTCGGCTAGAAAAGCAAAGAGGAAATATGAAACAGAAAAAAAGGTGGGGTTCTGTTGGGGTGTATAGTTTAATATAAGAAGCTTAACTATGTTTACAGTTAAATCACAAAGGTTGACAATTAATAGAGAACAAGGATATAACTGAAATGAAGTTTCTGAAGAGATAAAAAAAAAAAATAGAAATCAGCCTTGAACAGGAAAAGACCCATCTTATATATCCATGGCTATCATGAAACTATAAATATAACCATGAAACTATAAATTCCATAATTTCCACTGCTTTGTAAAAAAAGGGATCTCGAAAAAGTTACACAAAGATGTTTGCTGTAAACAGACTTTTTTATTCAAAATGTATCATAATCGAACATGGAAATTACTTTTCTACTTTATATTTTAGACCAATTTAAGTAACAAATATTCTAACTTTAGATGTTTCTCACCTACACCACTGCTGTTTTGTATCTAATTTTTACTCTAAAAAGATTAACTATTTTTTATGAATAGAAAATGTAAGAATTGCCAATTAAATGATTAAGTCATGTGACAATACAGTGTGAGAAATTATACCATTATACTATTGCTCTTTTAATATTGTTATATAAATACATAAACTTTTAGTCTTGCTGACAAAGCTCTATAAAAAAATTTAGAAGATCATGTATTTAACGTAAAAAAATCCATTAAGTATACTACAAGCTTAGTGTGATACGTCTTCAACATTTTTTTTAAGTTTTTAGTTTTCCCCAGTTTATTATGAAAATAGGTCCATCTAGTGGCAAGAAAAGCACGGTTTATAACTAAAGATTAGCTCACTATTAACTATTTCAATCAAGTCAACTCATTTAAATTTGTCTTCATTTTCTAGGTAAGTTAATATGACAAATTTATATAGCATTTCAAAAAATATTAACACAATCAACTTAAGGAAAAACTGTAGTTCTTTTAAAATTAAATGAAGAGAATAAATAATCTCCCTCAACAAAAGGAGAGAAAGATGAACTATAATTACAGGTATAGATATAGATATAGATATAGATATAGATATAGATACACACACACACACACACACACACACACTATCCATACACACACACACACACCCCCTGGATATTTACGTATAAATTAGAAAAAGGTGACTTATAAAGGGTAGCAGCAACATATTAAATTAAGCCTTATTTCAACATACATAATTTCCTTTCTATCTCACCAGTTAGATACATTATTTTTTAGGATCAAAAACTTATCTGATCAATCTAAATCACTGGTTTTCCACTATGAACGATTTTCCTGCCTCCTCAAACACCTGACAAAGTCAGAAAACATTTTTAATTGTCACAATTAGCATCTAGAGATTAGATGCTAGGGAATAGGGATTCTGTTCAACATCTTACAATGCACAAAGTCCCCCAAACTAAAGAATTACTGAGTACAAAATGTCAATAGTGCTGAGGTTCAGACATGGTCTTAATGAGCGACAAAAATAAGAACAGGAAAAAGAAACAATCATTAAGAATTTACAAGGTGCCAAGTTATCTTAAATATTTTTATTTACTCAAAAGAAATACTTTCTACAAAAATAAACATGTGCTACTCATGAAAATACATATTCACAAATCTGTCCTGTGTACTTATAACCAGGAACACCTAGTAATTAGAAGCATCAGTAAAGCTATGTATCTATTAGACAGTCTACCATTTACCAAGAAATCAGTTTTTCTTTT